TAAAATTGCATAAAATCAGCATTTTTCACCATAAAACTTCTTTTTCCTCTACAGCACCAGATGTAGAAATTGCTGGTTCCAAATTGTGATTGATGTGAATATTGGAATCAAGGGATCCCAGACTGGTTTGGGTTGGAAGGGACCTTAAACCTCATCTCATTCCCCCATTCCATGGGCAGGGACACCTCCCACGAGCCCAGGTGGCTCCAAGCCCCAGTGTCCAACCTGGCCTTGGAGCCACATTCCCTCACATGCTTGGAGCCAGAGCTCCTTAGAGCTCATTTACCAGTTCAAACAGCTGGGCTATTTTCCTCAATTCTTCACACTTTGCTTTCCTTCCCTTTCCCCTTTACCTTATGTTTGATTTAGTTTTCCATTCACTTTCATACAAAAAATAGACACAAAAATAGAAGCAAAGGGAGGAAGAAGCAGAATGACAAAAACCCAAGGAAATTAAAATTATACAAACTAAAGGAACGAAAAAATGGTCAAATATTTGCTACACAGTTTTATATGAGAAAAGTAGCTTCAAAAGTGACTTCTAGTTCTGAATTGGTGCTTAATTCCAAAATGTGGCTCTCCCTCTGTCAGGTCTGGACAAACCCAAGGCATAAGTGGAATAAAAATTATTTAAACTGGCAAACTTTATTCTTGTGTGGCCATAAATTTACCAACTTGCTCAGCTGTCATTGTGTTTTACCTCACAAATGTGTCCTGCTTGGAGGCCTCAGTCCATAAATCACCCCTGGAAAGTGTCCATAAATTATCAATTCACACATTAAATAATCTTTTCCTTATCTGGAACTGAATGAGGCTGTTGAATGTGAGGTAGCTGGACAGGGTAAAGACTCACTCAGCAGCTGAACCTGGCTTTTCTAGGCAGCTATTTTGGGTGCTCTGACTCACCTGAGCTTCCTGTTTCACATTGGCTCTAAGAAGGAATTCGAGGGCCTAAATTTAGAAGCTGTTGACACAAAGGGAAATGGAATGCAAGGACTGCAGGATATGGCAGCTCAGGGAAAATTGATGGCTTCACTCCTGGTGTGCAGCATCCCTGGCTTGCACCAGAGCAGGGAGGCTGCTGCAATCCCAGGGAATGCTGAGTGTGGAGAAGGCTCTGCCTCCATGGGAATATCCAGCTCTGGGGTCTCACAACCTTCCCTCTCCTTGGAAGCACCTGAATTTCTCCTTGAGCCTGAATTTCAGACACTGCCAGGCTGTCCCTGGGCCTCCATCCCTCTCCATCCCAAACCTTCAAGCTCCTGGGATCAGCAGTGACAAGAAAAACTGGGAATGTAAACCACGGGGGCTGGGGGTTCCAGGTCTTACTGCAGAATGTGCTCTTCCAAAACATTTTTCCAAGACCCCATATCCTCATGATCCTTGAAGCTGAGCCAATTAAAACCATTCAAAGCTGAGGCTGGAGGAGGTTTTGAGGTCACTACATGCAGCTCAAATGCTGCTCATCAGAATTTGCATTTGTTCCAGTCATTGTCCCTTTGCTCTGAGGTTTTCTCTCACCAAACACACGTTTATCTCTTCCACTTTTTAAAGAGCCATTGTAAGGTCCCAAATATAAAATTTTCTCATTTATTTGGCTTTTTAGGTTATTTGTGTGGAATAGTCTCTTTCTTATGTTATCTTCAGGATAGGGTGCTTGAAAACATTGGAGCTGCTTTGAATTTTTCTATCTAGTAACATTATGAATAATAATAATTATAATAATTATTATTATTATTTAAGAGCATGAGCAATTAGGCAAGGATTTTGCAGAGTGCTGCTCGTTCTCCCAAGGGATGTGTGTGCTCAGAGCAGTGCAGAGTCAGGCAGTTGCTGCACAGAAGGTCAGGGCCATGTTGATCCAGGTGGGATCTTTAAATTGGCACTGCTGTGCATTTTTAGGTTGCCAACAGCCCCTGGCAGGCCCTTGGCACAGGAAGGGTTTCCTCTCTAAATGACTGAGAGGTTTTCTTCTCGTGCTGAACAAAAAATGAAACAAGCCCAGAAGTGAATGTGAAAGTCCCTCTGTGAATAATGAATTTGTGTCAGATAAGCCATGGCCTAATTTTCAGAGCTGAGCTTTGAGGAGTTTGGGTTGGGGCCAATTTCATGGGAGGTGTCATCAAGCCTTGTGAAATCTGATTGCACTCGTGGTTTCAAAGTCTTCACGGCTCCAGCACAGCTCAGATCCAGCTCTGTGATCTCTGATATTAAACCTGATCAGATTTTGGGATGCTGCCCCCGGGTGAGCTGGGATGGAAATGTGTTACATCAGCTTGACTGCTACTGAAGTCCCTGTTAAAAATTTCTACAGCAATTAACAACAGACAGAATGCAGCCAATAACAGGCATTTTCGTCCCCTATCAACCAAGATTATGGATAAATCCTGTAGATGCCCCATGGCCAAGCAGGTATCAGATTAAGAGTGCAGTTTTATCAGTGGCTGGGGAGAGAGCAGAGCTGTGGGGTTGTTGCTGCTCCCTCTGTCTGGTGGAGCTGGCAATCACACACAGGCACAGAAAACCCCACATTTGCCCCATCTGAGGACCAGGGGAGGAATTTGAACAATTTCTCCATGACTTTGATGCCTTAGGGTTTTAGCTTTTCTATTCTCCATCTATTTGTAACCCTGCAGTTCTTTAGTGTATAACTCTGAACTCCATACCCAGTGTGAGCTGCTGCTCTCCCATTTTGGGCAGACACAACAATTCCTCTCCAGGCTGGCAATCAAGGACACCTCACTGCCTCAGGCCCCAGAGATGGAAACAAAAGTGAGTTTTGGGGGAGAAAATTTGGGGTAAATGACTTCATTACCTGAAGCTGTAATTGGAAGATGAACCCCAATGTGCAAATGGATCAAACTGATAAAAGTGTGAAATCCTGTGACCCATTGTCCATTTTGGGTGTAGCCCCTGGGGGGCTTTGTCTGCCCTAAATGTACCTGAGGGCCCTTCAATCAATAGAACTGCTTTTTATTCCCTTCATTTGATCTGCCCTCTGTTTTTAGGTGGCCCCAAAGTGCATCACCTTCAGTGCATTCAGGGTTCTCCTGGGCTGTGGTGGGGAAGCAGAGCAAGGTGTGGCTCCTCAGAAGATGCTCCTGGGCAGAGCCAGGACCCTCCTGCTGCAGGGGGGGCTGTTCCCCACAGGGAATTGCTGCTGGTGCTGCTGGACAGACACATCCTTGTGGGAAGGACCAGCCTGGATATTTTTTTAAAATACAGGATTGTTGTCAAAATGACCAGCTTCAAAAAACTTAGGGGGAAAAAAAAAAGAAGGAAAAGAGAAGAAAGAATGAAGTGACTTGGGCTCTGCCTGGCTCAGGGCCTTGCTTCAGTGAAAGCTATTTAACATTTTTGTAACTGATGGGGAAATTGTCCACTATTAATGGGCTTTCTTTCTGGCTATAATTTATTCTTATTTCTCAGAGGCAGTGGGGTAGAGGCCAGATTTCTTTATCCAGAGGTATTAAAATGCCTGGGGCTGAGCAGCTTAGCACTGCTTTGTCAGGATTTTCTCCATCTGGCAAAATAAGAGAATAAAATCACCCTGTGCAGGGAGAGCTGCTTTATTTTTAAAAGAATGCCCTTTCTCTTTCAATTCAAAGCCTCAGGGGAGAGGAGGAGTGGTGAGATGTGTGAGGAGATGCATATTTTCATTCACTGACAGCTTCTATATTCAGGAGCTATGATCCCTCACTGCCAGGCTCGCTTTAACTTCTCTGGAAACTGGTTATGTGTATCAAAGTGGAGGAAAATACAAGTTAAAAATCCTATTCAGAGACATGAGAGATTTACAGGGCCCAGAGGAGAGAGGAGATCCCAGAGGAGGTTCCAAAGTCATAGGCAGGGTCAGCTGACTTATAAAAATAAATTTCTCTTTGCTAAGGGAAAAAGAAAGAAAACCATATCCATGTTTTTTTTGTTTTTGTTTTTGGTTTTTTTTTTTTTGTTTTGTTTTGTTTTTGTTTTTTTTTTTTTCTTTTTGATTTAGTTTTTTCTTTTTTTTTCCCTGAGTCATTAACAGCAAAAGGAATTTTTTTTTTGCATCAGTGCTCATCAAAACAGAAAGTGGGTATCTCTAGCAGTAAATCATATCAGTTGTTCCTGACCTTTGGAAAGTGTCTGGTATAATTTGAAGTCACCTGGTGGAAAAGACAAAACTTCACTGATATGCACCATCAGTTTCTGGTGATGTAAAACAAGAAACAAATTACTGCTGAGGAATATTTGGAGTGTGCTCACACAAACTGAGCTCCATCAGTCACCAACTTCCACTGAGCTTGGATGATAAACCACAAGGTTTCTGGAGCCAGAAACTCCATCTATGACTAAATGTTTGCAGTGGAGAGTTTGCCAAGCTCGAGTCATAGAAAAATGCCAGTTGTGCAAGGGGAAAAACTCCAGTAATGGTGAGAACAGGCTTTCCTGGGATCCCAGAGATGCAGGGAAAAGGGGAAGGACTGAACTGGCCCCAGCTTTGGCAACATCTGGGTCCCTTCCCTCCCCACACTGTAAGAATGAAATTGCAAATAAATGTCTGGGTTACTGCAGTTCATGGAATGAGAGGGTCTGAGATTCTTCTTTTATCCTGAATTCTATAAACGTTCCAGGCAGCCAAAGAAGCTCAAATAGCACCCATCCTCTGGGCTGCTCAAACCTCTCAGCTCTCACCTCAGGCCCCCCTGAAACTGTCTTTGGGAAAGTCTGGACCAAAGTTTGGACTTTGGAGAAGTCAGGAGTCCTGGCTTTCCAGGAAGTGCTGGTGTTGGAGGAGGATTCCCAGCCCAGTGTGGTCTGTGTCACACAGGGACTGCCAAACTGGCAGGGCAGCACTCGAGGAAATCACATCCTAATGAACTTTGCTATTTGCCAGATTGGCAACACCATTGCTGTTTTAATATTTAATGTGGAAAGGTCTGAGAGCCCCAGGGGAGAACAGAGGCTGAGCACTCTGCTTAGACAAAGTCTCTGTCCCAAAGAGCTTTATATTTAAATAGAAAAGATGGATAAATAGTGACAAGGAAGACACTTGAAGGAAATGGCATAAAGTCCATAGCAGAATGCAGCACAGAAATATCGTGTAAACCCCATATCTCCTATGTCCTGCCCCAGAGTTTCAGCTACCAGCCTGAGAGTCAATAATTTCAGCATTTTTGCTGTTGTACCATGAATCTATTCCAGAGTTGTCATCTTGTGCCTGTGGTAAAGAAAAGCCTTGACTACAAGATTTGACTGTTGGGTTTTTGGAAAGACTGGGTTAAAACACTTCTCCATAAAATAGAGTTAAACAGATTTCCCCATGTCCTGAGCAGAGTTGCTGTGCCAACAGTTTATGACCCTAAAAATCTCCATATTGTGGATTCTTCCCATGATCTGCCCGGGTTTTAATCTGTGTGTGCACAGCTTGTTTCGAGGAGCCCTTGGTAGGTCTGTGGGTTTTGTGCTGGAGAGTCCAACAATCCCACCAGGAGCCAAGCCAGGGAACCTGGCAGGTGTGGATCTTGCAGTGTTGTTTTCTGGGACACTCACAAAGTTCCTTGTTCACCCTAGGGATGAGGTGAGGTGGGAGATTTAAACCAAGCTGGTGCCTAGTGCAAGCAGGCTGCTGGTGTTCAGAGAAAGGGCCTGGGCAGCAGTGGCAGCTCAGGGAGCTGCTCACATCCCATCGCTGTACCTCAACACCCCCAGGACGTTTTCATTGGGAAGGGAAACGTCGTTCAGGAATTGGGGATGGTTCAGTGTTACTGATATCCCGTCCTGCACTTTCAGGTGCGCCAGGTGGAGCTGGAGCAAGGTCTTAAAAGTCTTGTCTTGGCAGGTTTCTGATGCACACCACGTGGACAACGTCTGCCTCTCCACCCTGCCGTTCACCAGGAGCTCAATCTTGAGGTCGATGGGGCTCTTGGAGCAGTTGGGAAAGTGAAAGTTCAAGTGGCAGAAGATCAAGTAGAGGCCTTGTTTCTTGATCACCAGCTCGTGGCTCTTGCACTCGGTGTCCTCGCAGACCCCCTTCTCCACCAGGCTCAGCCTGGAGCCGTTCACTGCGCTGGACACTGGGAGGAAAGCAAAGGGCTGTTAGCTCTGAGCTCCCCTGAGCTCCCTTCAGCCATAGCACACTTCCAGCACGGTGTCCTGCTGAAAGGAGACACCTGCTCAGCAGTTTCCTGCCAGGAAGACTCCTGGAAACACACCTGGGAGCTCACACATGGAGGTGGGGCACTAAAGATTCCAAGGATTTACTCAGCCCTCTGGAAACCCAGGACATGGGTTGAAAATGCATGAATGCATCATGAATGCATGGATGTTCATCTCCATTATTTCCCCACTTGGCACTTGGAGGGAATTCACAGAGATGTACATTCATGTGCTTTCCATATTCATGGAGACTGTACAATTCATGGAGATGTACATTCCTCTGGGAGTGTGCAGAAGGTAAATCTTTATTTACTTTTATTTTTATCAAGTTAAAAAAAAAAAAAATCTAGGATCGGATGGGGGTTTGCCAGCCACATTCCAGGAGAACTAAGGATTTTTTTTCTATAAAATTCCCATTTGGACAAAAAAGCTATTTGCCAGTAAACTCAGTGTGAATGACATGAGCAGCTTTTCAGACAGCTCCGAAATTTCCCTTTCCCAGCCCCTTTCCCCCACCCTGGACTCCCCACTGACCTCTCATGTAGGCAGCAGCTCCCTTGGCTGGGACACTCTGTAGGATCCTCAAATAGTCTTCAAAGGTGTTCCCTGGAGAAAACAATTGATTAACTCATTGCCCCTGAGCATTTTGGGTTTTTTTAGTACTGCAAAATGCAGCCAGCACTTGGTACCCCATTTCCAGCATGGTTCTGACTCCTTGGCTGAGAATATTTGATCTGCCCAGGGAATTCAGGGCAGTGTCACTCAGCTGGTAAATCTATAACAACCTAAAGCTCTGGCAGATTGCAGCTCTCAGCCATGAAAAATTAAATTCAATACCCTGCTTCTTAAAAATAGGAGTGATGGTTTTAAATTAAAAGAGGGTGGTGAGTTTGGAATAGATACAAGGAAGAATTACAGTGAGGATGGGGAGGCCTGGCACAGCTGCCTGGAGAAGCTGTGGCTGCCCCTGGATCCCTGGAAATGTCCAAGGCCAGGTTGGAGCAGACTGGGATAGTGGGAGGTGTCCCTGCCTATGTCGGGAGTGGGACTGGATGAGCTTTAAGGTCCCTTCCAACCCAAACCAGGCTGGGATTCTCTGATTCTATGAGACAGAAATTATGTGCAGGTAAGCTTAATTTAACCAAGTTATTTTTGTGGTTTTAAACATTTAAGTAGTATATAGTTCTGAAAATGGCTCTTAGAGTGCTTTTGGAATGTTGCTCTGTTCCCTCATGGTTCAAATGTGGATTTCACCAGAACTTTAAGTTGTTCATATAATCCTAGCCTGGTTTGGGTTGGAAGGGACCTTAAAGCTCATCCCACCCCTGCCATGGCAGGGACCCCTCCCACTGTCCCAGGCTGCTCCAAGCCCCAATGTCCAACCTGGCCTTGGGCACTGCCAGGGATCCAGGGGCAGCCACAGCTGCTCTGGGCACCAGGGACCCGAAAGTTGCTGCTGGAGGGGCCGAGCCAGCCCCGCCCCGGCCCCGCGGCTCCGAGCCCAGGGCAGCAGCCGTGTCCCGGGAATCCCCAAATCCAGAGCGCCGGGACAGGGAGGAGCCGGGACTGCCCCGCCACAGCCCCGCGGGGATGCCCCCATCCCACGGGAACGGCCCCATGCCACGGGAAATGCTGCATCCCTCGGGACACGGAACTGCTGCATCCCTCGGGACACGGAACTGCTCCATCCCACGGGACTCAAGAACTGCTGCATCCCACAGGAACTGCCCCATGCCACTCGACGCTGGGACGGCTCCGTCCCCTGGGATGCGGGGATTGTCCCCTCCCACTGCCTCGGGGACTGCTCGCTCCATCCGCGGCCACAGGAATTGCTCCATCCACGGCCGCGGGGACGGCTCCATCCCACGGCCGTGCCCGGCACTGCAGGCGCCCGTAGAGCACCGGGGAGCCGAGTCCCG